ATGCTGAGAACTTTATGTTATCAATTTCATAAGGATCCTAGGAGGCAGGATCCCCAGTCACTAACCATAAAGTATCATCATTCATATATATATATATGTAACTTATATGTATTAAGATGTATATGCGTATGAAAAAAGAGCAAGTGATATAAGATAACATATACTTAATAGGGAAAATTGGGTCCTGGTCTCAGCTTTACCACATTTTACCTGGTTTCTTCCATATTACCATCTATAACAAGAGGAGCTTAGATCTGGTTCTGTGGTCCCAGACCAAACATGTCAAACTCCAAAATCCTGCCAAATGTAAGGTTTAAATGAAGCATTTCAAGAGCTGGAAGATGGCAGAAATTACTGTTGACTGAAGTACTCAGACAGGCTGGGCCACAGGAGGACACAATGGGCTGACTTCAAGGTTAATGCAGGCCTCTTGTTCAGACAGGAGTGAAGAACACATTCTAGACATAGTAAAAAGGACATGGAGCAAGCAAACATCAAAGTGAAGCCAGATTTAAAATTAGGTAGTCAGTGTAGTCTAATATCAGTGAAATCTAAAATGGAGGCCATGCTGATAATGATTCCAGAAATGCAAGACAACTCATGGATGTTAATGAAGTCCCTGAAAAGCCCTAGGCCAAAGTCCACCCCAAAGAAATGTTAATGGCACCCAGGAAACAGCCCCCAACAGATTGGGAGATACCCCATCCCAAAGAAGTGTTAATGAAGTCCTTCCTGCCCAGATTACTTGTTTGGCCCAACTGTGTCCCAACCCTTCCCCCTTACATTCCATCACCAAAACTATAAAAAGGGGAGACAACCCAACTTCCATGGATTCCACCTCTTGGGTCCCCTTCTTCCTCCGGGAGAAGTCTTTTCTGCTGTCCTTTAATAAACTTCTAATTTCTACTCTGACCTTGCCTCCGCGAGCTTCTTTGGTGTTATTCTTCAACACTGGGGAAGCAAGGACTCGTCACTGGTCAACATCGGTAACAAAAGGAAGAAAACACGCACATTTGGCCAAGTAGTGGCCCTAGGAGAGTACAATGTAAAACAGTAGAGATAAGAAATAAAGTTTCTGCAGAACTGGAACACTAATCTAATAAGTTTTGACTTACAAGGGGATTTTAGATCCATAGGGGACACTTTTACACATGAAGAGAGGCCTTAAACATATGTGAAATGTTGAAGGTCACAAAGGTAGGACAAACTCCCAGGTGTCTTGCCCTCAATCCTCATATTCTCAAGTTAGCCCCCCAAAAGCAGTGGTTCCTGAAACTTTGCTACACATTGGAATCACTGGGAAATCTTCAAAAAACAAGCAAGCAAATCAACAAAAAATAATGCCTAGCTCCCATCCCATCCACAAGCACTGATTAAATTAGTATGGGGTTTGAACTGGACGTGGGGAGTGCTGAAAAGCTCCCCGGGTGATTTCAATATATAGCAAAGTTTGGGAGCCACTGGACTCTAGATAGATAATAGGCAAGCTCATCATGGTATCAAGCACACTAGTGCCTCAAGTACTGGTTTAGGAAAATTAATCTGAATTCCATTTATATAAATAGTAATGTAAGAACATGAGAGTAGTGACAGGTGACAAGTAGATTTCTTGGGTTATTCAATTCTATATCCCATTACCAATATGTACAATCTGCAGGGTACTGAGCTACATAGGGCTGGACTACAGCAGAAATAGTCTGGGGCAGTGGAGGTGGAGGGGGAGATACATTAAAAAAAAAAAAAAAGAAAGAAAGAAAGAAAAGAAAAACAATGGAGACTGTTTGGAGGAGTGAATGTAAAAAAGTAAATGACTATAGTTTTCAGGCCTAAGTGAATAAGAGGAAGGTGATACCACAACATAGGCTAAGAAACTGAAAACGGAAGCATAAAAGAAATTTCCAGACTATGAACCAGTCCTCATTTTTATCAAACACTGAATATACAGTTAAATTAATATACTTATGAGAGTTACTTTAAAATATATCTAGAAAAGAAAAAGTGATGTGGAGGCTAGAGATCAAACAAGGACAGAATATTGATAATTATAGTAATCTGATGATGAGAATGAAGGGGTCCATTACAATAGTCTATTTCATGTATCTTTTACCTTCCATGACGATTTTAAAAACACAAACAAAAAAATCCACAGCATACTATCAATATTAAAAAAGTCCAACCCCAGAATATAAAACTATTAAGGTTTAAATAATTTTTCCATAAACAGTGTGTCATCAACAAATAAGCTGCTCTAACAATAAGACTAAAAGCTTCAGCAAGAACTTGTTCAGAGACAGTAATCATTTGCTACTTATATTACAGAGCTTATCACTTGCTTTGATAGGGCATTAAAATAGTATGGGCTATGTTCCATTTCTAAATATTAGAACACAACTCAGGAGAAAGGAAGTCATCAATGGTCAATGACATTCAGTAGAACAAAGGTAAAGTTATAGTAGGATCTGGTTTTCTGGGGTGGGGGCAAGGGTTTCCTTATCTTTGAGTTCTAAAAGTTGGCTCCACTAGATGGAAAGCAATCTAGCAAGATAGATCAAGGGCCTTAAAAATATTTGTATCTTGAACCCAATGCTTCTACTTCTGTAAAGGGAACCAAAGAAAAAAGATGAAAAAAAAAAAAAAAAGGATAGGTTTGCAATAGAAAACTACAACAAACAAGACAAAAAACCTACAATAAATAATGATCATTCATATCATTGATATGCACTATAAAAATCATATTTTCAGACCCTGCACTGATGGTGCATGCCTATAATCCCAGACAGGAAACAGGCTGTGGCAGGAAGATCACAAGGTCAAGGCCAGCTTAGACAATTTACAAAAAAGCTTGGTGATGGTGCTGGGGCTGTAGCTCAATGGCAGAGTACTACCTAGCATGTGTGAGGCACTGGGTAAAACAAACAAAGGCATGCTATCTACTACTACAAAAAAAATTTTTTTTAATATTTGGTGACATGGAGAAATTTCCTTGTTTTGTAAAGCATATGTTTGTGTGTGTGTGTATACAAAGGTTAGAGTAATAAATTCAATGTAAAATATCAATGACAGCTATTTTCACATAATAGAACTTAAGCTCTATTATGTGAAAATAGCTGTCATTGATTTATTACTCTAACCTTTGTACACACACACACACACAGACATATGCTTTACAAATTTTAATTACAAATTTTAATTTTCTTCTCTGCAAATATTTAATAATCTCCAAATTTTCTACCAGAGGTATACACAATTGTTAAAATTAGGTGGAAAAGGTAGAGTTCAATTCAGCAATTGATCTAGATAATCTACATTCCAGGTAAATCCGACTTTGACCTTGGAATCCATTCTCCTGCTACACACACTGCATATGAGAATCACCAGCATAAGATACACTCCAACAAGAACTTTAAAGAGCTACAATGTTATAAATTACCAAAGAGAAAGATCAAGTCTGTTAAGTTTATCAATTTGTTTCTTGGGATCACAATTTGTATCTTTCATCCGTCAGTCCTCAGGACTGAGTGGCTGAAAAAAAAAAAAAATCCTTATTAGCTGTTGTTTTTCTGCAGAAGTAGCTGATGACGGAAGTCTTCATGACACGAGGGGCAGGGTAAAATGCCTTATCACAAGTGCATCATTTCCCTCGCAGATTCCTACAAGTTTTTGAAGGGCCCACAAGATCTACCTCTGGCTAGTTATTAGCTAGCTGGTGACCATGGATTATAAACTTTGATTTCTCCACTAGAGAGTTCAGCGCAAGGGCTGACATTCCACAAAAAAAGAAAAAGAAAAAAAAAAAAAGATTATTGCTATCTCACTTTTGGAGGAGTCCAGAGAAGTCTGCGCCAGTCAGCCCCACGAACAGGATGGGCGGGAAATCCCTGCAGCGAGATGCTGCCCAAAAGGGCTGGAGAAATACTCTAAGATTCGGCTCAAGTCCTCAGCATCCCAGAAGTCTACCCCGTATCCTTCCAGGGCCACCCATGTAAGGACCAAGGGTGGCGGGATGCAGCTAAGTCCCCCTCGGAAGGGGAAGGGTCCTCCTCGCTGCTACTCTTCACCCGGAGAGGCCTCCCAGCCTCAGTGCTGAACAACTGCCTCCCTCGCTGGGAGCCGGGCCTCCTCCCAGGTCCCTCAGAGTACTGCCGCCCTCACCCGGGGCTCACCAGGGGTCCGGTGCCATCGTGACGCCTCCGCTCGCAGCTCGGACACTTCCTGCTCGCTGCAGCTGACTACGGCGGCTCGTAGGGATCACTCTCCGCGGTTCCGCCGGTGCGCGACCGCCTGGAGCTTGCAAAGTGAATTCGTCCACTAGCAGCTCAGACTATAGGGGGGGGGGGGCGGAGAAAAGCATTCCCAGTGAGGACAGTAGGTTGGAGCAATCTTTTTTCCACCAAAAGACACGAACTACTTGACGCAGTTAAAGTTGTTGTTGAGCCGAATCTAAGCATTTCCCCCTCCAGAAGGTGAAAGCGCTTCAAGCCTGCTGTTCCTGAAGTTTTTATCCTGCTTTCAAAACAAAACAAAACTGGACCGTGGCGATAGGGGTACACTGTATAAATTTACTAAAACCCATGTTAGGTGAATTTTATGATATGTAAGTTTTACCTTCAAATAAACTTTCACGAAAATCTTTAAGAATTGTTTTAACTTGCTTCAAACTAGGAGCCCAATGCAGTATCAGTTGCATACTATTTTATAGCATAAGTCTACTCATCAGATGCAAAAATACTCTGTATTTAAGTATTTTTTAAATGCCATTAGGTGCTTAATTATATAGTTATCCAAAAGGTCACAGGCTTTTTTACAAGGAAATGGGAGGAATTCGTTCCGTGCAGTTAGTGCTCACCCCAGCTCCCAGCTCCCAAATTTCCAGAGAATAGAAAGAAAAAGGAAGCCATCCGTATATTTGCAAGATTGCAAATAAAACTCAAGAATTCTGATTCTTAATTTTTGAGTTTCTGCGCCGGCGTGGACCTGGCGCGCATGCGCGCACTCGTTACCATAACGACCAGGAGACGCTGTACCCGCTGGGGCTGAAAAAAGACTGAGCGCGGTTTCTCCAGTGATGAACGAGGAAATTTCGCCCGAGGCCGAGGTGGGAGAGCTGGAGCTTGATGCTGTCATCGGCTTCAATGGTGAGACTTGGAGCCTCCACGGGGTAGGCGGGTTAGGAATCCCGAGGTCGTGCAGTGCCCACCGGGATGGCGAGACCCTGGGCGGCACCTGAAAGGCAGTCGGGACAGTAGCAAGCTCGCGGGAACCAAGTAGCTTCGCTCGCCCAAGGGTTGTGGAGAGTCAGTTCCTCGTCCCGAGCCTCAGAGAGTGGGATGGTTTTTGAACTGCTCAAATAAGCGCCAGCACCTAAAAGGGACCAAATGTGTCCTCACTGGACCCCGATGAATGGGTAAATGTCGGTGAGGGGATTCTCAAGGGTGAAGATTTCAAACCAAAATAGAAGGTGAATGGGACGCCAGGGGGAGGGAGAGGAAAGATGTTTTTGATCAGGGGAGAAGCCTGGCCACTGCTCTTAAATCTTATTTGTGACTGCTTTTTCTTGTGCACTTAATTAAAGAGGTGTAATCCCAGCGGCACGAGAAGGCTGAGACAAAAGGATGGCAAGTTCAAGGCCACCCTATACAACTTAGTAAGACCTTGTCTCAAAATAAAAAATAAAAAGGGCTGGAGATGGTTCAGTGGTTGAGCACCCCTGGGTGCAATCCCCAGTACACTTTCCCCTCCCACCAAGAGGAAAGATGCCGTGTGTTTTTTTGTTTGTGTTGTTGTAGTTTGTCTGGGGGATGGGAGAAAACAATTGAATTTTAGAAAAAGCAAACTTTTAAAAAAGTGTTGTGATGTCTGAAAATTTTTAAATTATAATCATGTAGATGCAGAATAATCGCTGGCAAGTTTTAGGCATATTCTAGGACATACCCCTTGAGTGTTTTACTTTAACAGTCTCTGATAGAAAGCAACACTTCATACATCTAGGATGTTAACCATCTTTAGAACTTGGAACTGGTTATGAGATCACTGGTGTAGGGATCAAGTGGCCTCCCATGAGTTGCAAAGGCTCCCTGGTGAGCTGCATACAGCCACACAGAGCTAAGCAAGTGAATTCATGCTATTTGGTAGAAATCTAGGAGCAGATACATGGTAAGTTTCATCCCGTCTTCCATGGTAGCTACTAATTCTCTTAGTATTTCAGAATGGTCAAGTTAATGGAATTGTTTTCATCTTGTTGTTTTTTGTGATCATTTATATTTTTTTATATAGTCAATTTCACTTTTATTTAGAATCATAATATGCCACATAGTACACTATGGGCTGAGAATAGAGATAAATCCATAGTCATGATTAAGAAGAAGAGTTTAGAAAACTGGAAAAATATATGAAATATGAAACTCAAAGAAAAAAATCAGTCATCATACATTTCCCAAAGAAGAAAAAGTGTAGAGTATGGGGCCTGTTTGAGAATTGGCAATAGCTTCAGTATCAGGGACTGGCAGGATCACCCAGGAAAGAGAACCTGGGGTTAGATGCCAGAGGGCTTAAATGACAGATAATTAAGTTTAGATGTCACACAGATGCAAATCTGTAGCAAACTAAGACCACTTTCATCATGAACTAGAACTCATGGTAGTGGTACCTTGTTAAACTTGAAATTGAACTTGAGGGCTGGGGTTGTAGCTCAGCAGTAGAGTGCTGGCCTAGCACATGTGAGGCTTTGGGCTCAATCCTTAGCACCACATAAAAATAAACGAATAAAATAAATGTATTGGGTCCAACTACAACTAAAAAAATAAATATTAAAAAAAGTTGAACTTGAAAAAAAAAGAAGGTGAAAATATGTAATTGTACTTGACTGTTCTAGGTATAATATTTTGACAAAAATTTTTTTACATAAACTGTTTTGGTTTGGGTATAAGATGTCCCCTGAAAGCTCTTATGTTAATGCAAGAATGTTCAGAGGTGACATGATTGGATAAAGAGAGCTATAATCTAATCAGTCCATCGTATACTGGATGGTAAACTGCTAGGCAGGTGGGACATGGCTACAGGAGATAGGTCACTGAGGGGGTGCCTTGGAAGGGTGCATCTTCCTGTGGCTCCATCCTTCTCTCTGCTTCCTGGCCAGCCATGACGTATACTGTTCCTACACCACACCCTTCAGCCATGATGTCCTGCCTCACTTGGGCCCAGAACAATGGACTTGACCCAGAGCATGGACTTGAACCTCGGACACATGAGTCAAAATAAATTCTCTTCCTCTAAGTTATTCTTGTTGAGTATTTTGGTCACAGAAACAAAAAGCTGACTAACACATATGCAAACCAAATAAAGCTGGGCTGTATATGAAAACATTTTATAAAGTTATTAAGAATTTGGTCACTTTTACCAATTGACTGGGATAAATAATTTTTCTGTGATGCCAAGAGCTCCTATAAACTTAAAATAGTAGCAACAACAAAAATGGATCAGGAGTCTGCAAACTAAACCTTGTGGGCCACTGTCTGTTGTGTACATAAAGTTTTATTGGAATGAGCATTTGTTCATGCGTTGTCTGTGGCTGCTGTTACACTACACAGGCACTGGCTGCCACAGCAGCCATACGGCCCAAAAGGCCTAAAATACCTACTATCCAAAATATTACTATAGTAGTGACTACACCTGTAAAATTGAGAATGGGCAAAGAAACCTAAAAAATATAAATTACTATTTACCCAGAAAATTTAAAATGCTATTAAAACAATGACATCGTTACTTCTGAAATTGCCAAAGACTGAAAATATGAATAATAGATGAAAATCAGAAAAAAATGAGATATTATCTATGTGGAATAACAAGGAAAGATATCAAAGATATATTGTGTGCAAAATCCTATTTACCAAATAGTATATGAGCCAATTATAGTTTAAAGTGTGTGTGTGTGTGCGTGTGGGTGTGTGTGTGTTAGAGAGGGTGGGTAAGAAGCAGTATGTATGTGACCCTGGGAGAGGAAAGCACAGTACATTCATTGAGGTGGACACGAGTAGTTTTGCCTACTCCGTCTCTGAGTATCATTTCTATTCAAGGGGAACCCCAAGGCAGGTAGTTCTTTTGCATTGTTTGTTTGTTTGTTTTAAATTGGGGATTGAACCAGGGCTTTGCCTATGCTATGGAAGCACTCTACCACTGAGCTACATTCCCAGTCCTTTTGATGTTTTTTAAATTGTGAAGAGTCTCACTAAGTTGCCCAGGCTGGTCTCAAACTTGTGATCCTCCTGCCTCCGTCTCCTGAGCTGCTTGGGATTACAGGTGTGCACAAACCACTGTACCCAGCAGTTCTTTTGTTCTTGATGAGAGCCTAAGAAGCAGATATTTCTGTTGAGAATAACCAATTTAGGAAGATGGTGCATAACAAGCTAAGTCAGTCAGGTTTGCCCACTCAAAACTTCCCCTCCCAATGTGGTAATGGAGAGGAGCAGAGTACTGCAGAAGTCAAGTGTTACATTGAATTTTGAGCAATGTAGAATGTGTGAGTTCCTTAGTTGATGTTGCTTGGTCCTGCTTTCTCATAGTCCTGCCCATTTTCAAGTTTGATTTTCTATACTTCCTATCAATTCTGTGAGCTTTTTATATTTCTCCCATGATATTTTTTTCTTTTTCTTTTTTTTCTTTTTTCTTTTTTTTTTTTTTTTTTGCTGCAGTAAGCCAGAGTTGACTCTTCTTAATTATAACCAAGAGTCCTAACTGTTTAGTGCAAAAAATATATATAATTATGAAGGTATATACACCTACATGTTAAGGTCATTTCTGGGCAGGTTATATACCTAAGAGCAGAATAGCTAGTCCTGGGCATGTACATATTCAACCATGATCAATATAAACACAGTTTTCCAGAGCAACTCTACCAATTTACTCTCCCATCAAGCAGTTGTATAAGTGTTGCCTTTGTTTCACACCATCACCAATGCCTGTTACTGTCAGACTCTTTAATTGTAGCCATTATAGTGGATATGACATAATATTTTGGATAAAATTTGTATTTCTCTGCTTACTTGCAAAGTTGAATATATATTCATATGTTTACACGGTGTTTAATTTCCTTCACCATAAAATGCCCATTCATATTCTTTGTTCATTTTTCTGTTGAGAAGTTTGTGTTTTTCTTATTAATTTGTAGGGATTCTTTACATATGATGGCAATAATCCTTTGTCTATTGTATATATTACAAATATCTTCTCCTGGTCTGAGTTTTTCTTTTCATCTTGTCTTCTGTAATTAAAAAATTTTAACATGAATGGATAAATATATCAACCTTTTCTGTTATGTTTGCTGTTTTTTATACATGGTTAAAAAGTCATGTCCTACATCTGTGTAAACATTAAGTCTTATTTTCATACTTATGTCTTTGATCCACCCGGAAGGTATTATTTGTATGTAGTGTGAGATAGGGATCTAATTTTACTTTTTCCATATGGATGGCCATATAATTATTTATAAGGAACCTGCATTTAGAAAAATAATAATATATTTTGGGTAGGAATAGATTGCCCAGAAAGACACAAACCTTGATTTTGTTTTTTGTTGTTGTTATTGTTTTGGTACTGGGGATTGAACCTAGGGCACTTAACCACTGAGCCACATCCTCAGTCTTTTTTATTTAGAGTCAGAGTCTCCCTTAGTTGGTTAGGGCCTCGCTAAGTTGCTGAGGCTGACTTTGAACTCATGATCCTCTTGTCTCAGCCTCAGGAGTTGTTGGGATTACAGGTGGGCACTACCATGCCTAGCCAAACCTTAGTTTTATAAGTACTTGCTTCACTTAAAAAAAAAAAAAAAAAAAAAAAAGAATACTCACAATTAAAATGAAAGGAATCATTTATTCAAGAACTACATTTGAGCTGGGCACAGTACCCACACCCACCCCCTGTAATCCCAGCAGCACAGGAAGCTGAGGCAGGAGGATCCCAAGTTCAAATACAGCCTCAGCAAATTAATGAGATTGTAGGTAACTTAGCGAGACCTTGTCTCAAAATAAAAAAATAAAGAGGCCTGGGGATGTAGCTCAGTTGTTAAGTACTCCTGGGTTCAATCCCCCATATACCATAAACCAAACAAAAAACTACATTTGGTCATTTGAACAACACCAACAACAACAAATCCATTTAGCTATGAGAACATGCAATGCACCAAAATGAATCCAGGAAGAGTTAATAGGAAAGAGGACTCATTTGAAAATCAGAATGCTGGAGCACATTGTTAAGTGAAGTCAGTAGGCCACAGGAAAACAAAAACACCCGTTCTCACTTACATGCAGACTAAAAAGTTTCTTCCAAAGAAGTAGAAAATAGAATAGCAGTTACCAGAGTCCAGGAAGGTGTGGGGCAGAAGGGAGGGAGAGAGGAGGGCTGACAGGTGCAGGGGTGAAGCTTCATAGAAGGAGCAGTTCCTCAGGTTCTCTGTATAGCACATTGTGGTGGCTATGGTAGATCACTTGCCTTGCATGCATGAGGTACGAGGTTGGATCCCTAGTACCACATAAACAAAAATAAATAAAGTAAGGGTATTGTGTATTATCGAAAACTAAAAACAAAATTTTAAATTAATAATAAAAAAAGCTAATAGGATTTTGAACATTCCCAGTACAAAGAAATAATATACATCTAACATGATAGATAAGCCAGTTTCCCTGATCTGACCATTATACATTGTGTACATGTATTGAAATATCATGCTGAGTCCCCATAAACATGTACAATTGCTATGTATCAATTGAAAAATTTTTAAAAGCCCAGAAGACTATATTAATAAATATTTGTGGCTCTTTTGATGGGGAAGGAAATAGCAGCAACAACAAAGATTTTAAAATAATGAGTAATAAATGTAACAAGAAATATTGTGAGACCCAGATGAAGAGAAATTGAAATGCTACTGGGATACTTGAAAGGAGACTTCAAAGAGAAACATAACTTTTTTTAAAAAAAACAAAGGGTATATGTGTGGGTACATGTATAATTATTATTGTTATGAAATCATTTTTCTTAAATTACTCTTTACATTTAGTATCATGTTATTAAAACTACAATCATTATTTTAGCTACTTAAGCTAACTTTAAAGTTTTTATTCTAGAATAGCCAAAAAAAATTTTTTTGGAGTGTCTAAAATGAGTGTCAAGCTATTTCCTGTTAAAATGTATTTCAAAGGTTTGTCATTGTTGAGATGGTTCTTGGTAAATATTTGGAGGGTGGGAGATGCCTGAAGAAAGAAATCTCAGGCTGGGGTTGTGGCTCAGTGGTAGAGCACTTGCCTAGCATGTGTGAGGCACTGGATTCAATCCTCAGCACTGCATAAAAATAAACAAAGTAAAGGCACTAGGTCCATTTACAACTAAAAAAAAGTAATACTAATACTAAAAAAGAGGTTTCACTGTGAAAGTACCCAAATGTCCTCAGAACACCCTATGATAACTCACAATGAAACAGAATTTAATTTTTTTTTTTGTTTTTGAAGTGTAATAGGTGAATACAATTATATAAATTTAAGAAGTACAACATGATGTTTTGACATATGTGTGCATCATGAAGTGATTCCCATAATCAAGCTAGTTAACATACCCATGTCATGTAGTTGCTGTTTTTTATTTGGGGATTAAGAACTCTGAAGACCAACTCTCTCAGCAAATAAGCAATGCAGTGTCGTTAACTGTAGTCCCCAGGCTGTACATTAGGTCTCCAGAACTTATTCATCTCATGTAACTGAACCTCTGTACCCTTTGACAGATATCTTCCCTTTCCCCCCGGTTTTCCAATCTCTGCTTCTATGAGTTCAGCTTTTTTAGGTTCCAAAAATAAGGGAGATTATTTAATGTGTGTCTCTCTGGTCTGCCTTATTTCACTTAGCATCATGTTCTCTGGGGTCACTTAAAATACTGGACTATGGACCTGACTAGCCAGTTATCAGTAGACATACAAATGGCCCACAGGCAGAGAGGTGCTCAACACCACTAATCATCAGAGAAATGCAGATCAAAACCACAGGGAGTGGGGGCTGGGGTTGGGGTTCAGTGGTAGAGCACTTGCTGAGTATGTGTGAGGCACTGGGTTTGATTCTCACTACCACATATAAATAAATGAATAAAATAACGGTCCATCAACATCTAAAAAAAAATTAAAAACCACAGGGAGATGTCACCTCACATCTGTTAGAATAGCTATTAACGAAGGCAAAAGACACCAAGTGTTGTGGACGTGGAGAAAAGAGAACCTTTGTACGCTGTTGGGAATGTAAATAGCAACAGCCATTATGGAAAAGAGCATAGAGGCAGTGTGGAGATTCCTTGGAAAGCTGGGAATGGAACCACCTGTAAGATCAGGCAAGGTGCGCAGCGACCAAAGGAGGCAGATTTTAAAAGGCCAAGGAAGGAGGCTTTATTTGAGATATCACTCTCTGGTGGAACTGGATCAGACAAACAGGGTGGACGGGGAAGGGTCTGAGGAGAAACCAAGTGGGAGCTCACCCGAACTGGGATTTTATGGGGCTTAGGCAGGAAGGGAAGGGCTTGGGACAGGAAAAGGTGTTTTTAGAGTCCCTTGTCCCACTGGAGTTGGTTCTGGGAGCTGGCCAGGATTGGCCAGGGGGTCCTGATGATTGACAGGCCTGTTAGTCCAGAGATCCCGCTGATTGATAGGCGTTTCTGTTGGTGCCTGATTGATGTTTCTTTCCTGCACGGCTGCTTTGTCCTAAGTCACCTCCACCGACCTGACACCACCATTTGACCCAGCTGTCCCTCTCCTCGGTCTATACCCAAAAGACTTAAAAACAGCATTCCACAGGGACACAGCCACATCAATGTTTATAGCAGCACAATTCACAATAACTAAACTGTGGAGCCAACCTAGATGCCCTTCAATAGATGAATGGATAAAAAAAAAATGTGGTATACATACACAATGGAATTGTACTCAGCAATAAAAGAGAATAAAATCATGCCATTTGCAGATAAATGGATGGCACTGGAGAAGATAATGCTAAGTGAAGTTAGCCAATCCCAAAAAACAAATGCCTAATGTTTTCTCTGATATAAAGAGGCTGATTCACAGGGGGGTAGGGAGGGGGAGCATGGGAGGAATAGATGAACTCTAGATAGGGCAGAGGGGTGGGAGGGAAATGGAGGGGGCAGGGGGTTAGCAAGGATGGTGGAATGTGATAGATATTATCATCCAAAGTACATGTATGAAGACACGAATTGGTATCAACATACTTTATATACAACCAAAGATGAAAAATTGTGCTGTATATGTGTAATAAGAATTGTAATACATTCTGTTGTTATTTATTTTTTTAAAAATCAATAAAAAAGAAAAGAGCATAGAGGATTGTCAAAAAATTAAAAATAGAACTACCATATGATCCAGCAATTCCACTTCTGTGTATATTCAAAGGAAATAAAATAACTTTTTTTTTTTTTTTTGGTACAGGGGATTAAACCCATTGAACCCAAGGGCACTTAACCACTGACCACATCACCAGCCCTTTTTTATATTTTTATTTACACACAGGGTCTCCCTGAATTGCTTAGGGCCTTGCTAAGTTGCTGAGGCTGACTTTAAATTCGCGATCCTCCTGCCTAGGCCTCACAAGCTGCTGGGATTACAGGTGTGCGCCACTGTGCCCAACTGAAATCAGTATCTTAATAAAATACCTGCACCCCCATGTTCACTGTAGCATTATTTGCAGTGACCAAGATATGGAACCAGCCTAAGTGTCTATCAACAGATGAACAAATAAAGAAAATGAAAATACACACACACACACACACACACACACACACATTTAATTATTGTTCAGTCTTTAAAAAGAAGAAATCAGGCCATCTGCAAAAACATAGATGAACCTGGAAGGCATTATGCTAAGTGACATCAACCAAATTTTTGTCTTTGCCAAAAGCTTATTTAAGGTATGAGATTCACATTCTTCCTATGTCTGTACTCCAACCCAAACAAACTACCCTGTTCCATGCACTTCTGCTTCTCAGTATTACAAGAATTGACCCTAAGGCCTTCCTGTCCAATATGAAGTTTCTTGATCAGCACCAGCATCCCTTGGGAGAGTATATGAAGTGCAGCTTCTCAGCTGGGCACAGTGTCTCATGCTATAATCCTAGTGATTCCGGAGGCTAAGGCAGGAAGATCACAAATTTGAGGCCAGCCTCTGCAATTTAACAAGAACGTGTCTCAACATAAAAAAAAAATGCAAAGGGTTGGGGATGTAGCTCAGTGGTAGAGCACCTGTGGGTTCAATTTATTTTATTTTACTTCAATTTTTTTTTTAAATGCAGAACTCAATCCTACCTTAGACCTGGAGAATCTGCATTTTAGTAAGATCCTTTTGGGATTTTATGCATATCAAAGTATGAGAAAGGATTTACTACACCAACCTTGTTTGTGGAATAAAATTACCTGTTGCCCCTCACTTATTTTCACTGAACTAAGGTTTATTCCAAAAGTGTTCTCTTTTGTACCCATTAAAAAAAAATTACTTTTGTACCTGACTATAATAATTCCTAATCTCTGTCTCTTAGGACATGTTCCTACTGGTCTCAAATGCCATCCTGACCAGGAGCATCTGGTGTATCCCCTGGGCTGCACAGTCCTCATTCAAGCACTAAATACTCAGGAGCAAAAATTTCTGCATGGCCATGGAAATAATGTCTCCTGTTTGACCATCTCCAAGAGTGGAAATTACATTGCCTCTGGACAGGTCACATTCATGGGGTTCAAGGTGAACAGACTGAAAACAATCCCTGTGGTTGTACTTAGAGGCACCTCTCTAGAGATGCCACTCCCCACAAGTCCTTGAGTCCCTTGGTCTAGGCTGCCCTGGACCTTTCCCCTCCCTCTTCCCTTTGACTTCTCTTTGAACCCATTTGCCTTCCATCTGGCTGAGAGGGAAGGAATGAAGTCTTTGTGCTAGATGTCTCAGCTCATGGCTGATAATGGATAGGAACAAAAGACCTTACTTAAAACCGGTCCCGTTCTGTTGCTCTGTGGCTTGCTTGTAAAGCATGGTCTGATTTTTTAGAGAAGTGACATTCCTGATTATCTCTCACCAAGAGGGGTTGCAGTCTCCTTGGTGGATTCTTTTGAAGCCTGTTCTCTGACGGAGCCTTCTTGCCCACAGGCAGATATCATTCTGTGGGATTATAAGAAAAGGGAGCTGTTGGCTCGGTTATCACTTCACAAGGGCAAAGTTGAAGCTCTGGCCTTTTCACCAAATGACCTGTACTTGGTGTCACTGGGAGGCCCGGATGACGGAAGGTAAGGAACAGAACCTATCCACACTTATTTTCTACCAGGTGTATTGCCAGAGGTTTCAAGCACACTGTCTCCAGCGATATCGTCTATTAGCCTGGCTACTAATACTTCCATTCACTTTTATGTATACAGCATTTCCTTGTTTGAGCTTCATGGCTTTGTTAAAAAGGAAGTTCGCATTTATGTGTAGTTATCTACTCACAGTTCTCTTAATATATAGACAAATCAACAAAATGTTCACGATTCTCTCTCCTTGAATAGTCCTGAATAAGTGGTCAGGACCTTTGGTTTTGGACAACCAAAGGTCACACCATCCGTGGACCATCCCCATTTGACTGTCTTTATGGGAAACATATCCAAAAATCATCTCTAACATTCGTACCTCAGAACTGGGCACACACCTGTAATCCCAGCAATTTGGGAGGATTTAGGATTGCAAGTTTGAGGCCAGCCTCAGGAACTTAATGAGATCCTGTCTCAAATTTCTCTTAAAAGGGCTGGGGTATAGCTCAGAGGCAGAATGCCCCTGGATTCTCCCAGTACCAACCCTCCTCCCCCTCCCCACACACAATTCTTACCTCCACTTAAAGCAGTTGTTCTCAACTTTGCTGCTCACTGGAATCACTGGGGGGGGGGGAGATTGTAAAAATTCCGTCTTTGGGGAGAAAAATGGCCCCTTCACCAAGGTTAACGTGGTGAAACTGTTATTCTCCTGGTAATTTTAAGCTTGATCTTAGGGTATCTAAAATTTGCTTGGAGAAGATTGGAGAATGTTGAGAAGCCGGTGAAAGAGTGCCCTGCTAGTAAAATACAATATGCCTACCCCTGGTTAGTCCCTGTGGTGAGGAAAATGGGGTTCTGCTGCTGAATGATTGGTTTTGGACCACCAAGGGTCACCTTGAACCTGTGGGAGGAGTCCATTCTACCCAAGTCACCTGGATTCTACACAAAGGGGGAGAAATGGAAGGAATGCTGCAAACTATAGTAGACACTCAAGAGTTTGCATTTACTTTTTATGTCTTGTAGCCTATTTATGAAACATTTGTATCAATGCTATTATACCGTCTGTGTTATCATGCAGCTTACACCAAGGACAACTCCATGTATGTACACACAGACATGTATATGGCTCTCTTTGCACTGAATGCATGCAAGTCCATTGTACAGATGTGCCAAAATTTATTTGGCCAACTCACTATGTTGGTGCCACTGATTTATATTTAAATTTAAAATTTATTTCTGAAAAATTGAAGCTATATCTGGCCAAGGTATGTAAAGAAACCGTGTTTGTTGTCCTTCTACCAAAAAGGACCCAAGATTCAAAAGTACGATTCCAATGTCCCTCCGTGTGTACTTGTACCACGAGATTCTTGCTTTTTCATAGCTTTTTTGAGATATATTTCATACTATAAAATTTATCCATGGAAGGTATTTAATAGAGTGGTTTTTAGTGTATGTATACTTTGTAATCATCACTAAAATTAATTTTAGAATATTTTCCACACCCCAAAAACCAAACCATAGCCCATTAGTGGTCATTCCCCATCTCTCCTCTCTTCTCTCAAGGCATACACTGTTCTACTTTCTGCCTCTATAGATTTGCCTACCTATTCTGGGCATGCCACACAAACAGAATTATAAAATATATGGCCCTTTGTGGCTGACTTCTTTCACTAAGTGTAATGTTTTCAAGGTCCATCTCTTTGTAGGATATACCAGGATACTCATTTCTTGTTGTCAAATAATATTCAAATAATACCGTGTGGATACCTCCATTTTCTTTATCCCTGCAACTGTTAGTACAGTTCATGAATTTCTAGGTCTTTTTGTTTTGTTTGTTTGGGTGCTAAGGTTGAACACAGGGCCTATAGTGCATGCTAAGAACATGCTCTCTGACTGAGCTACACTCTCAGCCCCCATTTCCACATTTTATTTTATTTCATTTTTGTACTGGGCATTGAACCCAAGGGTGCTTTATCACTGAGTTACACCCCCTGTCCTTTTTGTTTATTTGTTTATTTTTATTTATTTCTTTATTTTTATTTTGAGACAGGATCTCACTAAGTTGCTCAGGGTTTCACTAAGTTTCTGAGGCTGGCCTCAAACTGTGATATCAAGTCACTGAGACCCATTTCCACTTTTAAGCTATTATTATTAATGGTGCCTATGAAGATTCATGTATAATTTTTTTTGTTTTGTTTTGGGTTTTATTTTGTTTTTTGTTTTGTTTTGTTTTGTTTTTGTTTTTGAGACAATGTCTCACTAATTGCCCAGGCTGGTCTTGAACTTGCAATCCTTCTGCCTCAGCCTCCCAAGTATCTGGGATAACAGATATGCACCATTGCACCCAGCACACATAAAAGATTTTGTGAGGACATATGTTTTCATTTCTCTCGGGTATGAAGTCTTCACTTTTGTTTTTATTGTTCATCATCTAGTTATCATTTTAACCGTTTAAGTGTTTACCTCTCAACTTTCTACTTTATATGTTATTTCTCAATTTCCCACTATGAAAAAAGAGGGATTTATAGATTTTGCCCCACTTCCTGTTCCTCACTCCTAATGATGTTGGTGATTCCTGTAATAATACAGTCTATGTATAGATAATGAGGAAAGTATAGATAGGCCTGTTTTTACATTAACAAGGTTTGTAACATTTGCATTCGTTTGCTTTAAATGTTTTGATTCAAGCATTTGACATAATACTCCTTCTCCAACAGTCTTGGTATTCTTATCCAAACACAATTCAGTTTAGGACTAAATTGTATGATTGCACCAAGAAAGAAGGAAATGTTACCCTAAAACAATGCTTCTCAAAATGTGGTGCCCAGATCTGAAGCATCTGCATCAACTGGGGCTTGTGAGGAAAAGCAAACTTTCAGGTTCTACCTCAGACCTCCTAACTCCCACTCTGGGGAGAGGGGCCTGGCAGCCACCTGCAACAATTATTTTTAAAATTATTATTTAACTTTATAGATTTATGGGGTATGATATGATAATTTGATACATGTGTATGGTGTAGAATGGTCAAATCGGGTATTTATCTGTCTTTCTGATTCTGATGCATGTTCAAGTTTGAGGACACTCTCTTAGGTCATCCACATTCCTTCTTTTCCCCCTGCTAAAACACTTCCTCAAGGAAAATTTTCACTCGAGATAAACGGAGGGTAAACCTTTATGCCTTGTGTGTTTGGAAATGTCTTTCCTTGAGCATCCGAATTTGATGAGCTCACTGGCTGCTGGCCACATCATCATTTGCCTTCAAAGGTTTTGAAGTGTTAGTATTTGTCTTCCAATACCCAGTGTGAGGGAGGAGATGTCTGGGGCTCTAGGCATTTATTTGTACCTTTGTTAGTAACCTATTTTGCTTTTCTCTCTCTAGAGCCACTAAAATAGTTGTTTTCTTATTTTGAAAGCTGGATGTTCTCTGACATTCTTTTCTTGCTTGTTTTGGCAGCGTGGTGGTATGGAGCATAGCCAAGAGAGATGCCATTTGTGGCAGCCCTGCGGCCGGCCTCAATGTCGGGAATGCCACCACCGTGGTGTTCTCTAGGTGCCGGGATGAGATGTTCGTGACTGCTGGAAAGTACGTCTCTACAGTCGGAGTTTCAGAAGCCATACATTACGACGTTTGCTTGCAGAGAAAATGGGGTTATTCCAGTTTAGGGGAACATGTCTTTAGTTCTGGAAAAACACCTTACATTATAATTTTCATAGCTTTCATAGTCATTGAAAGTCCTTTTAGCTAAAACTTAAAAGGCTTTTAGCTGAATACCATTTTAAATATGAAAATTCTGTGATTTCTACTAGATGATTCTGCTGAGCTGCTAAACTCATCTCAAGTTCATTTATTTATTTATTTTGGTACTGGGATTTCAACCCAGGAATGCTTTACCACTAAGCTATATCTCTGGCCCTATTGATTTATTGATTTCACTTTTTCCCATTTTTTTTTTATTGGTGCATGATAGTTCTACATAATGGTGGGGTTTGTTGTTACATATTCATACATGCACACAATATAACAATATAGTTTGACCAATATTATTCCCTGACTTTTATTTTTTTATTTGTAAACAAGGATCTTTTTAAGTTGCTGAAACTGGCCCCAATTGGTGATCCTCCTGCCTCAGTCTCCCAAGTCTCTGGAACTACATACAAGCATGCTCCACCTCACCTGGCTCAGGTTCTTTTTTGTGGTTGAAAACAAATTATTTCCAATCTGTGTTCACAAAGTAATTTGCACAATTGCACAAATTCACTTACCAGTTGGTATTTCTCACCACCTGCTCTTGATTTAGGTCTCATGAAATGATATTTTGCAAACAAACTGTGCCAGGAATTTCAAAAGTTTGGACTATTAGCCATATGACATAAATTCTAGTGGGCCAGTTTTATGCAGCTCACGGTGACCAAGTTGGACATCTGAACAGAGGTCTGCACCTAACAGAATGAATTATTTGCAGATGGACCATCAGAGCCTTGTTTAGAGTCTGGTAACCAGCATTTCAGTTTGAGGGAAGGTTGAACATGTACAACAGCATTCCTTTTTATGTCATGTACCAGTTCAAAGGTGAGAAATCTGAAGATGTAGGGTTGAAGTACACACCGTTATCTCCATCTCCCTTCTGTGAAAGGTATACACAGTAGTTACTTTTCCAGCTAGAGTAAAGAATTGGTGCTGCTCTGCATCTGTCCTGTTTCCTATGACATACTGCATACCTTTATCCCATGGCTAGTTATGAGGAAAGATTTATTGAGAGTTGTGAAACTACCTGGCCTACGTGAAAGTCAGCCCCTGCCAAAAAAATCCTATGAGGACAGTGCTCCAAGGCAAGATCAATTGACCATGCCCTCCTCTGCCTTCTGAAGCCACAGATGACTCAGCTCCCTTCAGGGTTGCAGAGTGGCTTGGCTAAGCCGCTGTTTTATGGAGTTTTGTTGTTGTTGTTCCTCAGCAGCTGCTTATGCAGAAGGAGTTGGTCCATTTTAAGGCCCATGGGTGATGTTCACCAGGAGTCAAAACTAAAAATTTTATACCAATAAGAATTTTTTTAGGGTAACCTATATTCCAAGTCTGCTTCAATTTCATGTGAGGCTGAAAATGTTAAGAGAAAGTTAACATTTTCAAAGAAGGTTTCTGTCACAGTACATGGGTACAAGTATACCTGGGTCCTCTATCACAGTTTTGATTTCATGTATTCCATTATATTGTCCCCATGAAATAACCTAAACATTCCAGGATTTCAGTATCCAAATGCTACCTACCATTAAGACCAGGGAAAAGCCCTTGTTTTAACTTGGAAAATACAGTCAAAATAATTATTGAGCACTTAACATTGAACACTTCCTGTCATTTTGGAGGCCAAAAAATAAAAACTGAGCTTCATCTATTTTTAATTAATCTTTTCTGCCTTGAGGTATTTAGCTGAAGTCTTTGTGATGTTGACCTTGACATTTTTTTTTTTTTTTTAGAGAGAGTGAGAGAGAGAGGGGGACAGAGAGAGAGAATTTTAACATTTATTTATTTTTTCTTAGTTCTCGGCGGACACAACATCTTTGTTGGTATGTGGTGCTGAGGATCGAACCCGGGCCGCACGCATGCTAGGCGAGCGCGCTACCGCTTGAGCCACATCCCCAGCCCCTGACCTTGACATTTTAAAATAATTATTCAGATTAACTCAAACATCAATGGTTACATACCAACCATATATCAAGTACTGTGTTAGCTGCTACCTTAAACTTTCAGTTTCTTAGTCTCAATTTTCCTTCCTTGGAGACAGGACTGTCTCTACTAAAGTATTTCCCTTTAAAAAGTTTCCCTACAACTCAATACCTTGATTTATTCCTGTTGTCTAATTTGGTATGCCAAATAAACGTCTCCCCTCACCCTCACCTCAGGTAACCACCATTTCAGTCTCTGTTCCTAAGAGTTCAACTTTCTAGATTCCACACGAGTGAGATCACGCCGTACTTATCTTTCTGTGATCATCTTACTTCACTTAGCATAATGTCTTTCCAGGTTCATCCACATTTTCACAAATGATAGGGTTTCTTAAGGCTGACTGAATATTTCCTTGTGTATATATATACTACATTTTTTTTTATCCACTCATCTACTGATGGACCTTCATATTGTGTGCATCATGGTGACTATAGTTAATACATATACACATATAATGTGTATTTACAATATACATATGCAATATGTTTATGCAGTACATAGGAAACACTGTATCGAACTTTGCAAACAGAGTAGATCTTAGGTATTCTCAGCACAAAGAAATGTGTATGAAGTAATCCGTATGTTTAATACCTTGATTTAGCCACTTCACAATGTGTGTGTATATGTATATAGTGTATATGTGTATATATGCATATATATCTCAAAGCCTCATGATGTATATAATTTTACTTGTCAATTAAAAGACAGGAAGGGAGAACACAAAAAATAAAGAGGGAAAGAAACTTAAACTGGTTTTCTGGGCATTTCTTTCCTTGCTTAGGTGTCTTTATGGTCAGAATAGAAAAGTGGAACATGCTCTTCAAGGTGAATGACGGATGGGCGTGAGTTACCACTCTGCTGTGTACCAGCTCTGCATTCTGTCATTGAGAGAGATGATCTGGAGAGATCAGAAAACCTACTTCTTGGGGTTATTGTGAGGATTGAGTGAAAGATCTTGAGTGCTAGATCATAAAAAAAAAAAAAAAAACTCTCAGAAATGTTCTCTTCAGCTTCTTCTTCAAGAGAATACAGAGAATGTAGAAGAGATGACGAAGCAATTAAATGGATATCCATTTGTGATTTTTCTTTATAGTGGGACAATTCGAGTATGGGAACTCGATCTCCCGAACAGAAAAATTTGGCCAACGGAGTGCCAAACAGGACAGATGAAAAGAATAGCCATGTGTACTGCAGTAAGTATTGCTTCAAGTATTATTTTAAGCAACTATTGCTACAAGTTCCTGTTAAAATTTGAGTATCAACCAAGGGGTGGGTGCTGTACGCTGGCCTAGGAGCAGGAAGACAAGCTGTAACATACAGAATGTTGATGGGGAGGCACAGGTGAGAGCGAATGTCACTTCAGTTTTACTTATTTATTTGCAGTACTGGGGATTAAACCCAGGGGTGCTTTATCACTGAGCTACACCCCCAGCCCTTCTTATTTTTATCTTTAGACAGGTTCTTGGTAAGTCTCTTAAAGCCTTGCTAGGTTGCTGTGGTTGGCCCTAAACTTGTGATTCTTGTGACTCAGTGTTATGATGGCAAAAGGTGTGACTTAGGCAGTTTGGGGGGGAGAAATAAAGAATGTCCACCTGTTTCTGCCCTAGTCAATGCTTTATTCACTCAGATCACTTAATACAATTTCACTCTATAGGTTCTTAATCAAGAAAACGACAATCCTTAATGCTAGGCACTGCAATACGCATCATCAGTTCACAGCGAACAATTCTAGATTAATGAATTCACAGCAAACAATCCTAGATTAATTCTAAGCACTGCAAACACACTTAATCATGACAGACATTCCCTCTGCATGCTGAGTTCAAGCATTGGATCAAAAGTCTCAAGCCTTAGGCTCTGAGTCCAGCAGATGCACACTCACTCAGGTGATCAGGTCAGGAACCAAGGCAGGCTTCTCCTGGGGTGGAGCTGATGGCCGATTGAGGAGAGGGTTGTGGGGAGAAGTTGCAGCTCTCCCCAGGGGCGAGATGTGGCTGTAGAGTTTGAGATGAGGAAAATGTAGAGGATCAGCAAATGATGGGAAGTGTTGGGATGTCAGTCCAGGTCCTCATCAGGCTCTCAGCGTGAGGGCATTAGTATGGGCAGGCTGAATGTCTGTACACTTGCTCTATTATTTATACTAAATTTGGGGGCTGTTGACCCCCCCTTTCAATTCTTATCAGCTACCACCAGATTTCTCAGTGACATCGTTTACCCTGGGGTTAAAACATCTGGTCTGATGGTCCCCTCCCTGATCCTTTCCCTTCCCCTCTTATCAGGGGAGGACAGCCTGCCAGAGGCTTCACTCTGAGTTTATCTGAGTGGGGAAAAGTGACTTGTTTGTGCCTGAGGGCCGTATTGGAGGGCTCCCTTAGGTGTGCCTGGTGAGACTGCAGATTTCAAACTGGAGTTTTTAAAATGGAGTTGCTTAGACTAAGGCCTAAGGCCGTCCTCACACTCAGCCTTGAAGTCACTGGGATTACAAACCCACATCAGTTTTACCCGGCTGTCTGTCGTCAGATGCCCAATATCTGTTTCACCTGGAGGGAACATGGTTCTACTGGAAGCAGTGTAGCCAGAGTGTGCTCAGAGCCCACAGTGGATCCCTACGTCACCAATATTGTTTTGTCACTGGAAGTTTGGTTTTTGATGGTAAAATATTATTGTTGAAATACATTCTCAACCTTAAAAAAAATTGATTCATGTTTTTTGTTTGTTTCCTAGTACTTGATATTGAGCCAGGGGTGATTTACCACTAAACTACGTCCCCAGCCATTTTTATTTTTATTTTTTAATTTTTTTAATATTAATTTTTTTTTTTAGTTATCAGCAGACACAACATCTTTGTTGGTTTGTGGTGCTGAGGATCAAACCCGGGCCGCACGCTACCGCTTGAGCCACATCCCCAGCCCTATTTTTTTAATTTTAATTAAAAAAAATTTTTTTGGTACTGTGGATTTAACCCAGGGGTACTTACCACTGAGCCATATCCCCAGTCTCCATTTTTTAATTTTTAATTTTTGAGACAGGGTCTCACTAAGTTGCTGAGGCTCTTAGTGAGAGCTAAATTGAGACAGGGTCTAACTAAGTTGCTGAGGCTGAGCTTGAAGCCAAGTAGCTGGGGTTATAGGTATGTGCCACTGTGCCTGGCAATATATTTTTAATCCGGATTCATAATCCATACACTTAACCTCATTCTTTATTGACTTATTCCTCTTATTTCGTGCATATTCATTTTATGGATATATTCTTGAGAAAATACGGAATAAAGCAAATGCAGACCCTCTTTGTTGAAGTCCACCTTCATCCTAAGAACCCTTTGAAGGTGTCTGAGGAGTTGGGACTGGCCGGGCATGCATGTTAACATCAGACCTGAGTAGCTGTCCAGTGAAAGCCACGAGCTGATTGGAATCTAATATTTCCTGCAGGTCTGTGTTTGGCCCTGATTCTGCTCCTCTTGGAGCTGTTCTTACCCATCTTTGAGTCTGGGGGAGTAGAAGTAGCCATGAGCATCATCAGAAGTCATCTTCATGGAGTCTCAGGGAAGCTCCCCCGAGCTCGCTCCTATCAGGGGCTCAAGGATTACTGAGGAAACAGGTCTTCAGGTTATGTTTTCTCTCTTCTCAGATGGCTGTGGATGACAGCTTTTTCTACCTTGGCACCACAACTGGAGATATTCTAAAGCTGAACCCCAGGACCAAACTTCTGGCAGACACTGGACCTGTGAAGGACAAGTACAGTTTAGTGAGTAGAGACTCAAAAGTTCTGCTCTGTCCTGCCATTCTCCCCCCTCAACTAGCAACACAGACTTTCACTAATAAAGACTCTGTAGAAAAAAACCCAAAAAGTCAGTTACATACCCAAGTCCACACCTAAATTTGCAAAGTTCACTGGCTAATTCTCTTAAGTCCTTATCTCTGGTTATTTTTGTTCCTTTCTTTTCCTTCTTCTCTTCCCCCATCTTCTTTCCCTTTCTTTATTTTTCTTTTGCACTGGAGATTGAACCCAGGGGCACTTTACCATTGCATTGCAGTTATACCCCCAGTCCTTTTTTTGTATTTTTAAATTTGAGACAGGGTCTCTCTAAGTTGCTGAGGCTGATCTCCAACTTGAGCTCCTCGTGCCTCAGTCTCCTGAATTACTAGGATTATAAGAATGCACCACATTTTTTTTTTGGCATCTGATTATTTTTCAGTGCAAAGACATTATGAGGTGTCCTTGATTAGGAAATCAGCACCATTCCTTTTCTCACCTCCTTAATGTACAGGGTCTGTCACTTTGTGATTTGGAACCATATTGGTTTCAGCCCAGTTGCCATATGTAAAAAAAATTCTCTTTGATCTATAAGAAACACATACACACACACACACACACACACACACACACCCATACACACACATATACATATAGGCACCTACATAGGTGTATATGTGTATGTTCCCTTTTCGACTCTAATAACTTTATCTTGGATTTTACTTTAGACTTAGCTAACATTACAAGTCATGAGTGAGACCTAGAAACAACCCCATTGTTCATATTTTCAGAATTCCTAACAAAAGTCCACTGAACAATGTTAGTATTTAAACAAAATATAAACTCTACCATCAAATTATTTTATATAATAAATGCTGCTATTCCCAGCACCCTCAGAAAGTTCCAAAGGCTGTTTCTTGCTACTGAATTTAAAAGTTTCTCCTAAGTTGTACACCTGCCTATCTCATTTCTGATAACAGAACAGATGGTTCTAACTAAGCTTATTTAGATCCTTCTCCACTGAGCAGATATTCTCAAGAAACTTTGAAATATTGCACTGTGCTCCTGGGAAAATGTCAAGAGTTTTTTTAATCATATAATCATTTAAAATTCAAGTCTTTAAAGTGAGCCATGAAAATGGAGAAAAGCTCTGGTATAGGTAGAGAAGATTTAGAAATAATTCCAGAGGAGATCAAAGTGTAGCCTACATTGATCTCTTTCTAATTATTTTAAGAGGAAAGTAGATCAAGTTAAAGAAAGGCGAGTCCTAGAACCCTGCCAGTTCCAACAGCTGAGATACTTCCAAAGACACTACTTGAAAAACCGCTGGTCTGGATACTTCTCTGCCTGCCAGCGTTTGGAAACTAAGTGCCTCTCCAGAAAGGGTGCTGACTGTCTTTGTGTTCTTCAAACACGGAGCACACAGATCTCCTATGGATGCTTTAATTCCTGATCATTCAGGTCTGATAATAAATTCTGCAAAGCAATGATTTCAAGACATCTTTTACAGAGATGATAAGAAAATAATGCTTTTGAAGGAAAGGTGTAAGAAGTGCCACTGAGGATGTTGGGATCCTGGACAGTTATCCCTTTTGAAACACTACTTCAAAGTTTGCTTTCTGGGTAGAGAGGCAAAACATTGGAATGAAACCAGGCACAATGGTACATGCCTGTCATCCCAGTGACTTGGGCAGCTGAGGCAAGAAGATCACAAGTTCTAGTTTAGCCTCAGCAGCTTAGTGAGACCTTGTCTCAAAATAAAACATGAGGATGGCTGGGCACGGTGGTGCATACCTGAGTACCTGTAATCCCAACAGCTTGGAAATCTGAGGCAGAAGAATTGCCAGTTCAAAACCAACCTCAGCAATTTAGCAAGACCCTAACCAAGTTAATGAGACCCTGTCTCCAAATAAAATATTTTTAAAAAGAGCTGGGGATGTAGCTCAGTGATTAAGCATCCCTGGATTCAATCCTCAGTACAAAAAAAAAAAAATGACAGGATGTAGCTCAATGATAAAGTGCCCCTGGGTTCAATTCCAAGTAGTGAAATTAGTTAATCAATTACTTGGATTGGTTTACATTTAACCTGTTAGGTATAAAGCACTAAAATGAATAAAGATGATGACAATAATGAGGACAATAATGTGCATGTTTTATAAGATCTGTATGAAGAATCGTGCAAAACACTGAAGAAAAAAATCAGAGAACTACATTTTAGAGAAATATTTCATGTTCATTTCTCAATATTGTCAAGATGTCAGTTCTTCCAACTTGATCTATAGAATTCAATGTAATTGCAATCAAAATTCCAACACGTTATCTCATGAATATATTGACAAGCAGATTCTAAGAAGGTTACATACAGAGGCAAAAGACCCCAAAGAGCAGCATAATACTGAAGAAGAATAAAGCTGGAAGACTAATATTACCCAACTTCAAGATTTATCCAAAAACTGCACTAATCAAGACAGTTATTATTTGGGTCAAAGAACAGACAGATCAATGGAACAAAACAAAGAGCCCAGAAATATACCTTCATAAATATACTCAAATAATCTTTGAGAGAGGACCTAAGGTAATAAATGTCAAAACAAGTGGATATCCACATGCAAAACAAACTAAAAACTACACATAGACCTTACATCCTTGATAAAAATTAACTGAAAATGGACAACAGACCTAAATATAAAATATAAGACTCTTAGAATATAAGATGACTGGACATGATGGCACATGCCCCTGTAATTCCAGCTGTTCAGGAGGCTGAGGCAGGAGGATGGCAAGTTCAAGGCCAGCCTCAGCAACTTAGCCAGAAACTGTCACAAAATAAAATAAAAAGGGCTGAGGGTGTGGCTCTGTGGCAGAGCACTCACCTGGCATGCACAAAGTCCTGGGTTCAGTCTCCATTATTACAAAAACCAACCAATCAAACCAACAAAAATCCTAGAAGATAGCACTAGAGAATATCCAGATGATCTAAGGCTAGATATAACACCCAAGGTGCAATCCATGAAAGAAAGAATTCTTAAAATAGTCTTCATTAAAATAAAAATGCGGCTCTGAAAAAACACTAAAATGAAAAGTCATATCATGGAGCGGGAGGAAAATGTTTGCAAAGGACATATCTCATAAAGCATGTAATTCTAGTTCCTGCCTTCATATTCTTGAGTCTTAGTTTCTCTTCTCAGACATAGTGAAAAGGCTTGTGAGCCAGAGCAGGCAAAATTCAGTTTATAGCAACTTGAAAGTAACTCATTTTATCATATTCAAACTTCATTAAGAAGCAAGCTTATTAATTCTCTGGTTATATTATTGTTGGATATTTTAAGGTCTAATATTGGCAATTGTCATTTTGCATGACTCTAACAGAATCTGATACTAGGTAATTTATAGACAGTAGAAGTCTATTTGGCTCATGGTTCTGGATGCCAGAAAGTCCAAGAGCTTAGCACTGCATCTGGCAGGAGACTGTGTTCTTTATCATCCCATGGGGGAAGGTAGAAGAGGAAAGGAATATGAGAGCAAAAGAGCAAAAGAGATCCAAAGTTACTTTTTATTATTATAATGATTTATTATTTATGAGAGATAGGACCTGTCCAGACTGACCTTGAACTCCTGGGCTCAGGTCATCCTCCTACCCTAGCCTTCCATGTAGCTGGAACTACAAACTCATTTTTAAACAAGCCTACTTTTTTATGCAACTTTTTTTTTCCTTTTCTTTCCCTTTTTTTTTTTCTATACTGGGGATCAACCTAGGGCCCAGTACTTGCTAGACAAGCTCTCTACCACTGGGCTACACCATTAGTCCCAACAAGCCCACTCTCAATAATGACATCAGTCCACCATTCAGGACAGACCCTTCAAGACTCAATCTCCTCTTATTAGGCTCCACCTCCCAACACTGCTGCACTAGGGATTAAGTTTCCAGCACTTGAACTTTGAGAGACGCATTCAAACCCTAACAGTTCTACACATTTAAAAATTAAAACTTGGAAAATTGCTTTGAATTTTAAATAGGTTTCTAACAAGGCTATGCACTCGGTGCCTTAAAATTCAGAAAATACCGTCACCAAACAGTAAGGAGCATTTTGTGCTGTCTCTGGCTGTCAGATACGGTCCCTTTGCATTTGTAAGAATAAAGTTCTGGTGAGCATGATGGCAACTGAAGGGCTAACCTTGCTTCGGCTGTGTTTCCTCCTTCTGCTCTAACTGAATTTAAGTGGATGCGAAAGCATTAATGTTTAATATATGCAAAAGGCACAGATGATTGCAGGGAGGAAGTGTGGGGAAGCAGGTCTTCTTACAGGACTGGGAGGCGACTTCCTAGCACATGAGCTTGTTGTTGGCATCAAATTCCCTTGGCCAACCTGGGGGTACATCCGCACAGTCCCTTCATGAACTTCACCATGCAATATGTGCAGCATCAGGGCCCAGGCCATGCTCAGCACGTCAGGCATTGCATTCATTTATTTTTATCTTTGCAGTACTGGGGATAGAACCCAAGGCCTTATGCATGTTAGGCAAGTGCTCTACCACTGAGCTATACCGTCAGCCCTTTGTGTTAATTTTTAATGATGAGACCACCTGACCTTTTCTCCCCCTAGGGAGTGTCGGCAATCAAATGCCTGAAGATGGGGGGTTTGTTGTTAGGCTCTGGAGCCGGATTGCTGGTCTTCTGTAAAAGCCCCAGCTACAAACCCATCAAGTAAGTTCTGGGCCCCCAGAATTGGGGTAGATCAAGACCCTCTAGAGGGAGGTTCATCTTAAGTCAGCAATTAATAGGACATTGGCAAAGTAATATTTGGCTAAAGAATTTCATCTTGCTATTAAAACCAGCTGTTAGAATCACAATATAGAATGGTTTCTTTGCTAATGAAAAGGCATCTGTTGAATAAACCAAAATTGTCCACTATGACCCAGAGGGACACTGCCCTTTTATTAAATATGTAATTTTTAATTTAACTAACCTACTGGTCCATAGCAAAGGAAATATGATGTAATTAACTTATTCCCTCAACCCTCAAATTTTAAACTTTCAAAATTGGTTTAGTCAATGAAATTTATTATGCAATGGATAACCTCTTATGAATAAGACACGGTGCTAGTAGTCACGTATTTGAATACAAACAGACAATGTTCAACAGCTATTCTTTTTTTTTTTTTTTTTAAACAAGGAGAAATAATTTTTTTTTT